TGAGCCAATGTGAAGTTCTGTGTGCCAATAAAACTTTATTCACAAAAATAGATCAGGAATTGGATTAACTTGCGGGTCCTAGTCTGAAACATCTTAGAAAACAAAGGGATTCAGTGAGAAGGACCTGGGATGGATCAATTACAGGATTCTGTGAAACATACTGAAAGATGGCCTGACACTCATGAAGGGGTGCCATGCAGATCCCCTGAAACAGTAAAGTCCCCACTAAAATCAGAAAGATGGGTAAGCTAGGAATGAGTGGGAAAGCTGTGGAGGGATGGATGTGTGTGGATAACATAGGGTGAGAAGGGGCTGGAACGGAAAGAACAAAGGACGAAGTAGCCAGAGATTGACCCTGGGGGCAGAGCTAGACCTTCAAATTCTCATGCATTAAAATAACACATGCTTTAAGCTTCACACAATCTAGTCTCAGAATGTTTCATTTCAAGAAACCGGCTGAACCAAGGGAAATAAGCTGGTGTGAAGGACTTCATTAGACCAGTGGCTGGCCGAGAAGTGAGGTTCGCTGTGTATAATCATCAGAAGAACATTGCAGGGAAAGCGGAGCCGCCAGTGACAGCCATCCAGCCTTACTCCGCACTGCTAGCATTGTTTCTCAATTGCTCGCCTGCCTTTTCTAATCCTATTGGCTGTGACTCAGAAGAGTGTGGATGAGAGAGCCTAATCTAGTGATTCTCAACCTGTGGGTCAAGACCCCTTTGACAGACTTATACCTCTAAAATAATTTACATTAAATTCATAGCAGTAGCAAAATTACAGTTATGAAGTAGCAAGGATAATAATTTTATTGGGGTCAACAACACGAGGAACTGTATTAAAGGGCTGCAGCATTAGGAAGATTGAGAGCCACTGGCCTAATTGGTTCCACCACTGGGGCAGTATCATGGAACACCTGCTCTGAAAAGCATCTGAGGGTTACTGTTAAGCATATTTGTGATTTCACCCTGTTTAAAAAATAACAGCACAGGATGCCCATGGATAGACTAGGCTCTGTCACATTTTCAACAAGTCCTCTGATAACCTGCGGCAGGATGGTTTTAGTTCATGTGAAGTCAGTAACCACGCACAGTCTTTTCTGCTTTAAGTCCGTTTTCCACAGGGGTCTCCGGAGGTGGCGCCTGACCTGCCTGGCTCTTTGAAGCCCTTGCTTTTCTCTGCCCCCCTGGTCCCAATGTAAATCCACAGCAACTCCAATCCCATTCCTTTTTCCATCTCACTTTGGGGAGATGCAGGGACATGACCGTTGTGATGGAAAGTGGCCTCTGTCTACAAGTTGGTTGACCCTGCTCTCCATTTCTGCAGGATCTCTTTGTTTATCTTTCCAAACAGCACCTGGGGTTAGATCCCGTGTCCTTTCCAGGCCTGTGGTGGAATTCCCAGGACTGCTCTATCTTTATATGGTTTCTGGCCTTCTAGGCTAGTTTTCTTAGATAACTCCAAGCTATGCTCTGAGGCCACCTCTGGGTGGGCTTGAATGAAAAGAAAAAGGAAGATTATGAGGGACATGTTTTTATTTGTGTTTACAGATGGTCCCTGACATAATTTATTCAGTTAGGATTTTCCACACATATGATGGTGCCATTCTAAAAAAAAAAAAACTTTTATTTTTCACTTTCAGTATAGGACTCAATAAATTACATGAGCTATTCACTGTATAGAGTCTATCTTCTACATAGGTATAGAATAAGATTTGTGTTAGTTTTGCCCAACTGTAAGGTAATGTAACTGTTCTGAGCCTTTGTGTGGTAGACGCTGGGCCAAGCCGAGCCATGATGTAGGCAGGTTAGGTTGAGAATCAAATGTCCTGCCACTGTCTTAAACAAGGCTATTAGGATCGATCTTACTGATTGAGAGAGTTTCAGGTAGCAGGCTTTAAACATCTGGTCCTCGTGACTCCACCTCCTGGGTTCTGGATTCCAAACATGCTCTACCACCTTTCTATGTTCCTAGTGATCTCTCAGTAATCTGGTTGAGCTTGTATCACACAAAGCCCTTAGTAATCTGCTACAAATATGCATTTTTACAGAGGCTATTTTTGTTTGTTTGTTTACCATTTCATTAAGCAGGATTTTTTTTTTTCCAGAGCTGAGGACCGAACCCAGGGCCTTGCGCTTGCTAGGCAAGCGCTGTACCACTGAGCTAAATCCCCAGGATTTTTTTTTCACTTTTCAGATGGAAATGTCACATTTTTAAGTTTATACTGTTTTGATCTTTTCTTTGCACTTTGTAAATATGTCTTTATAGGCCTGGAGTCTGACCCTGACTGGGTAAGACTGCTCTTGTGGACCTGGGTTGGCTCACATCCCCCTGTAACTCTAATTCCAGGGAATCCAACTAGATTCCCTGGCATCTGTGTGCGTGTGCACACATATGGTACATATAAATCCATGCAGGCACACATACAACAAATAAACAAACAAACAAATAAATTTATTTATTTATTTCCTTTTACTCAGAGGCATTTAGAGTTTTTTCTTTTTAAACATTTAACTCTGATCATTTTAAATTCATTTTAGCCTATGGTATGAAATGTTCACATACACATTTTCTCTCCCTCTCCACCCCCCCCCTTTCCAAAATAATGCCTGACACCAGAAGCTTAGCTGTATTAAGTGTTTATAATTTCCTGCTGGGTCAGAGGTGAACTTGGGTGCTGGGAAGGTCAAGAATGAGAAGGACGTACCCCTGCCCCTTTAACCAGCTGTGGCAGAGGAACAATGGAGCCTACAGATTTCCTGGCCTGTACAGAAAAGGATGGGTACTGTCATCTAGTTACAGATGCCCCGAGTCACCATTCCTCCCAACCTGGGTCATGACTCACTCTGAACTCCAGTCACACATGGCCTCCATCCTTTCTTCCCTTGACATTTGGCCATTAGGTTGACTGGCAGTGTAAACTCACATGCTTGCCTAGTATGGTACAAAGAAGATGATCCTGTTTGACTCTCCACAAGTACTTGAAGGCATGGCAAAATTGTTCTTATGTTGCCACATGTGGCCATTTCCTAAGGCCTGGGGTCCAAGGCCTTTTTTCCCCCCCAAGACAGGGCTTCTCTGTGTATCAGCCTTGGCTGTCCTGGAACTCGCTCTGTAGACCAGGCTGGCCTCGAACACACAGAGATCCACCTGCCTCTGCCTCCCGAGTGCTGGGATTAAAGGCGTGCGCCACCACCGCCTGGCCAAGCCTCTCTTACTTAGTCAAGGCATATGAACTAGAGAGAAGAGGAGACACAGAATGCAGGACACACCGGCTTTTTGAGACCGTGGGAGAAGTTTCTGGAGTTACTAGGGCATACCTTTGAAGATCTATGCTCACAGTGCCTTGCCTGTGTCTGTGGTGATTTGTAGGGAGTCTGCAGTCAAACATTGGCAGGAAGATCTGATTCTTCATTAAGTTACATGAAGGAAGTAGTCTTGTTCCCAGGACTGGGCTTACTGCTAATAAACACACTCCACCACCTGAACCCAAATGCAGATCCCATTTAAACTCTGCTCAGTAATAGTGCTGCTCAGTCGTTTCCCACCAAAGGAGGTATAGTAGAAGGAGAATCCCCTGTGTGGTAGTGGAACAGGGCCAATAACCAAAGATGCAAATGTCTTTTCATGTTATTGTGTAAACTGCTCTGTAGCGTATGAAAGGTAGTGCACACAAGGAGGGCTCTAGGTCATTTTCCTTAGTACTGGGCATCAGGCACTTCCCACATGTGGAACTAGAACGTGATGGATGTCTTTGCCAGTTTAAAGGAAAAGACTTTAAAGGAGGGGTCATTGGGAGCTGTGTTAGATGCCTTATGTAGAGGCTGGAGAGATGGCTCGGTAGTTCAGAGCGGGTACGGGTACCGCTCTAGCAGAGGACCCAAATTCTGTACCTGTCACCACATCAGGCCTGTAACTCCAGCTCTTCTCCCAGTCTCCATGAACAACACATTCATGTGCACATACTCCCACACAGACACAGGCATGCGTAAGACAGAAAATTAAAAACCTAGACAAACAAAACATTGGGGGAGCTAGAGAGATGGCTCAGGGGTTAAGAGCACTTTCTGCTTTTGTAGAGGAACTGGATTTGGGTCCCAGCACCCACATGCTAGCTCAAAACAGTCTGTAACCCCAGTTCTGGGGAATTCACTGTCTCCTCTGACTTACAGGCACCAGACATGCATATGATGCATAGACATACATGCAGCCAATGTATGTCTCATGCACATAAAATAGAAATTGTCTTTAAAAAAAAATCTTAAAAAAAAAGATTCCTGGCCGGGCGGTGGTGGCGCACGCCTTTAATCCCAGCACTCGGGAGGCAGAGCCAGGCGGATCTCTGTGAGTTCGAGGCCACCCTGGGCTACCAAGTGAGTTCCAGGAGAGGCGCAAAGCTACACAGAGAAACCCTGTCTCGAAAAACCAAAAAAAAAAAAAAAAAAAAAAAAAAAAAAAAAAAAAAAAAAAAAGATTCCTTTTGTATAGACTGTGCCTAAACCACACAAAAGAAGTCACCCAGCATGTTCACCCTCTAGAAATCACAGATCAAAATGAATTAAATCAAGGCTGCTGACCATTATAACTATCTGTAGTCTGTGTAAATGAGTCATTGAGTTCCTTTAAAGTACGAGGAGTTACTTGCAATGTTGCTTGCCAAGGCTGGAAGCTATGATATATCCCCCCCCCCTCTCTCTCTCTCTCTCTCTCTCTGTGTGTGTGTTTACTCAGTTATTTAATGAAAAGTTTTCCTACATGTTTAGATCTAATACAGAGTTGGGTGTGATTAAGAACCTTTCTGGAACAACCTTCACACATGAGAAATCATTTTCCCTGCAAACCCAGAAAAGGCTTCAGCCATGGCTTATCACCAGGGGAGGGAGCACAAGCCAAGGGAACTAAGCGGCACAGCCATGCACAACCCAACTCCCGTGCATGATGTAGCGAGGGTTTACTGCCCTTGACCCGTCATCTGAACGCTGATGTTTTGTTCTTCCTTTTAGGAAAAGCTCTGTCTGCCTCATCACATCCTTGAAGAGAAAGGCCTGGTCAAAGTGGGCATGACTGTTCAAGCGCTGTTGGACGTCACCGTCACAAAAGCTCTGTTCACATGAGACCAAGCCCTCTCCCCTGGGTGGGCTCAGACTCTACCCAGAGCAGGGACTCCCGACTCTGCTCCTGGCACCTGCACCGACTCCCCCACTCACCACCTGCCAGTTCCCTGACAAGCTACTACGTTGACAGGGTTTCAGCCTATGGGAGGATTCAGGACCTTTTAGAGTTGGCCTCCAGGGTTCAGGTTGGACGGGTATTATCTGACAGCCAGTGAGGGAGCTGGCAGAGAATTGAGTAGCACATCATTGCCTTTTCAGCCTCCTTCATCCCTTCCACACTCACCGACTGCCATTACCAAATGCCAAGCACAAGCTGTTTCACAGTGAGTCGCGTCCGTCTTGTCAAAACCAAACTCCTTGCAGAATCAGTGGGGGGAGGGGGAATGCAATCAGGTTTTTTTGCCACCAAATTTTTTCAAGATGTTTCTTGAGACCATTGCCTTTTTTGAGAAACTATTTTCAACATACAAAATATTTATATAAATATTATTTATTAGTGAGTCGTTATTCATCCTTTGGATGCAAATTGTAAATTAGGAAACTATTTTATTACTGCTTTTTTGTGGTTAAACAATTTATTTTAATATTATAAATACTGAGTTATTTTCGAGCCTCTTGGGCATGTAGGAGTTCCAGGTCTCAGTGTTCCTATTTCCTGGTGTATATGATTCAGAAAAAAAAAAAATTAAACAAGAAACACGTGCTTCTGTGACAGAGAGCTGTTTTCTGGGCAGGTGATATCCACCTTTTGATTTGCGGAACATCGTTCTTATTTATATTTCTGCATTCCATCCAGTTTCCTACATTCCAGCAGCCCTCTTGTCCCATATGATAACGAACTGACTGAAATCAAGAGAGCACCCCAAAGTTACTTGTAAATAGCTATGTGGGAAAAAAAGACATATTAAACTTGAAGATGAAATGTGAACAGGTTTTTTTTTTTATTCATGTTTCTTTTGCTATGCACAAAACATTCACATTTTAACACAGAGAAGTGGGAAGTGTTCAGTATATATCTTGAAGTATAATTTTGCACTGTATTTTGGGTAATTGAGGAGCATCTAGCACCAAAGGTAGATGTTGAAGAAATGAATGAGAAAATGGAGATGATGGAAGGTGACTGTCTAAAAGGGTTATAGACCTTGATTCAGGACACCAGCACTTGTTACGACTGCCGGTATTCAAAGAGCGAGAGATTCTGAAATGTAGACATGTTTGTCTTTATTGTAATCGAGCTGGTGCTTTTTAAAGAGTCCAGACTTGGAAGCTTCATAGTGTCTGGTATGAAACTTGGGAAGTGAGTGGGTCATGGGGCAGACTGAGTGAAGGTCAAGTAGGTGGAGTATGTGAGCGGCCAGGGTGGGAGCAAAGACAAGCACACTAGCACTAGAAAGGAGCCAGCCCAGGAGAGGAGCCCGTCCCATCCATTGGTGGGAGAGCTTCGCCAAAGGCTTCACAGGACTATGCCAGGCAGTCACACCCATGCACACTCATACTGTCGGTATGGATGGATACCCCAGTCATTCATCTGTCAAAAGCCTGTGAATACTGACTGCACTTTCACCTCTGTACAAAGCCATTGGCAGTTTCTAGAGCAACAGTAGCCACAGTGGGGGACCCGTCAAGGTAGATACAAAAGACTGTAGGATGAATGAGTGCATTCAACAGAGACTGACCCTCCACCAGGAAGGATGGAGGGGATCTGAACATGGGGATTCAGACAGGCAGCTAGTAAGTAACTTCCTATCAAATGTACTGTGCACTTTAACATAAATATATTTTACTACTTTTCTGTACTGCACAAATACCTGTTTTGTCAAATGGCATAACAATGTAAAGATGAGAGGATTTTTAACAGAGTGTACTCAACTGGAGCAGCATTCGGAGCTGATCTACACAAGGGTTTAGAAGGCCGCACCTTCATGGCATTGCAGCGCGGCATCCTGAAATATATTTTTACATGTATCTCTGACAACATGAAGCTCCATAACCATTACTTTCGGATTTTTTTTTTCAAAATTAAAAGATTTCTTTTGATATTAATTTCCACAATTTCCTTGAAATTGGCTGTATCATACAAATGGCTTCAGTATTTTGTAAAATGTTTTTTTAATGCAGTTCTTGTATGGATAAGATGTCTTCAAGATCCTTGTACACTGTTTATATGTACAATGAAATGTGCATGGCTGGCTGATCGTATGATAAGTAGACAGAATGTATATAGTGCAAACTTTTTATTATTTAACAGCCATTAAAATTTTGAACTTATACCAACCACCTTTGGATTGACTTATCAGTCTGATGCTAATGTTGACTCTTCACACACACACACACACACACACACACACACACACACACACACAATATAGGGTACCATGGCTGAAATAGGTCATAGCAATCATATATTGTGAACATATATGAATATAACTATGTTTATAACATATGTGTAATTCCTCTTATAACTTCTATTTCAATAGTTACAGTTAGAATCTTACTAAATTGATTTATAAATTAAATTTATATGTATGAAAAGGTTCAGTGCTTTGTATAGTTCTCGGAGGTCTTTGAACAGCTGCTAGGTTTAGGATAAAAGGACACATGGGGAGAAGAATATACAGATACTCTCCCTCCAGGTTAATACGTGTTTTTTTTTCCCCTAAGTTAAAACTCACTTGTTACACAAAAACCAAAAGCAAACTTAAGATAGGGTAGGGGTGGGATGAGGGTGAGGGTGGGGCTTCCCTCGAATCAAGGCATCTTGAAGACGCCTTAGTTTCTTGACCCGCATTGTAAAAATCGTAGGCTTGGCTCCTCTTGCCTCAGCTGTCTTGCTGACTGAAGTCTGGGGCACACCCCTACTGGGTTTGGGCCAGTGTCTTCCCTACACATCCACCCTTCCTACAGTGAGCGAGCAGCTGCTAGGAGAAATTACAGGTGAAGGCTGTGGATATAACTCTGCTGTCAGAGTGTTTGCCTAGCCCATAAGAAGTGCTGGCTTCAGTCTCCTGCACTCTATAAAAAACCGGATGTGATGGTGCATGCCTGTAATCCCAGAACTCCAGAGATGAATGCAGGGCGATCAGAAGGACTCAGATAGCGATTTTTGAGGCCAGCCTGAACTACATGAGATCTCATCTCAAAAGAAAAAATAAGATCAAATAGTAGTAGTTCAAGTAGAAGTAGTAACTCCTATTACAACACACAGACCCAGGTCCACTGTCCTGAGCAAGGACCCCAGGACCTCTGTTCAAGGTCTGCATCTACCCAGTCTAAACACAAGTAATCTAAACACAAGTACACGTGGCTATGATGTTATGATTTGAGATGCTGCATCTTTGCTCCCACCCCATCCAATTGGACTTGTCCTTCTGTGCATCATAGAAGCCTAGTGCTTTAAGCAGCTGGGAAGTCCGTAAAGGCAAGGGAAGAAAGCCAGCAGGGCAGGAGCACCAGGGAGGCTGCAGGGAAATGGGGCATGAGGACCATCCATCAATTGAATTTGTGGTATTGGCCACAGTTGGCACTGCCTTAAGAGACCATATCCTGGCCCAAAGCTGTACCTGGGAGCTGTCCAGTTTCTCCTGGGTGAGTCAGAGTCTGGTAGCAGACTCCTATGTAGCCAGAAGTTTCTCTGGTCCTGCCCGCCCCGCAGTTGGGACAAATCTCTCCCATCTGCATCCCACAGCCACTTGGTCCCAAGTAAACACGCAGAGGCTTACATTATTTACAAACTGTATGGCCTATGGGTCAGGCTTCTTGTTAGCTAGCTCTTACAACTTAACTCATAACTATTTATGTATTGCCACGTGTTCCATGGCTTTACTTGTGTCCCATTACTTGTTGCTCCTTAGACCTTCCCACTCTCCTTTCTCCCCCCACTCTCTCTCTTGGATTTTCTCACCTGGCTCCATCCTGCCCTGCCATAGACCAGTGCAGCTTTATTTATTAGCTACAGCATACAGAAAGATGCCCCATGACACTCCTAATCTTCCATCTTCTGCAGGAAATCAGCTACTAGACATCACTCCTAGTCAAGTGTGGGTCTGAGGATGGTGTGGTGGGGGGAGTTTCGTCCGGAGCTGATATTCCTTGACCATGGGGACATGTATACAGTAGGGCCATGGGGACATGTATACAGTAGGGCCGCATCCCCAAACTGGCAGCCTCCTTATCTTCACCCTGCACCAGTGTTTGTTGAGTGCAATTGTGTAGAGCAAGGCTGCTTTTGTTTTGCTTCCTGCTGATTGTTCAGGGGCATTGGGGTAAGCATCTCAAAGCCTCATATGTCCAAGGCGGTTGTGGTTCCTAGACCATGTAGGTGGGCAATCTGACAGATGTCCACATAAACCTCTTCCTTATCTGGTGATTGTAATTCTTAAGCTGATGTGTGGAGCCTATTAGCCCTTCTAACTGGCTTCTCTTTAGTAGCCATGACACGTGAACTGTTATAGATCCTGAAGAGTCAGAAGGAGAGCAGCTCTACACATGTGCGGAGTAAGCTTCCCGGATGGGCGTGCTATTTGAAATCAACGTGTCACCTTGCTGTGACTTCTAATGAATGATGACAATGAGTAAGGAGAAGCTGAGGCTTCAGGGCTGGGGTCACCAGTTCACAGTCATAGTGAGTAAGAAGGAGGTCAAGTTAGAGTCAAGCTCAGCCGGTGTGTCCTCACTGTGCAGAAGTCTTTCCTAGTAGTGCTGGCCAAGTGACAGCTTCTGTTGTCACTAAACAAGTCAGTCTTGAGGGGCCTCAGCAACACAGGCCTGAGAAGGAACGAAGTCAATGTGAGTACTATTCAAGTGATGAATGATAGAGATGGAGCCAAGCAAAAAGTCAGGGTTGGTTTGTTTGTTTGTTTGTTTTTCCACCTAGAGCTACAGGAGATTCATTATAGCTTCTGCCCTGGCTTCCTTTGATAATGGATTGTAACCTGTGAGATGAAATAACCTCTTTCTTTCCTCTCCAGATTGATATTGGTAAGTGTTTTATGACAGCAACGGAAAGTACCAAGACAGTTAAGGAACCCAGGCTGCTGTCCCCTCTGCTGCCTGTTCTGCTTCCTTACCACCTCTACCGGTTTTTTCTCACCCCCGGGAGTATGGGTAGTACTTCCTTTTCACCCAAAGCCTCAATTCTTCTGATTATTTGGGAGCTAGTCTTTAAAAAGGAAAGCTAAAAAAAGAAACAATAACAACAACAAACAACAACAACAAAAACCTCTGGCACTTTGCATTTAATGAGGTGGTTTTGTTTCTAGAAGTTCTACAGACAACATGGTCTATTCCACATGGTATATCCCCACTATACCTAAATACAAGATCATCTTGAACAGGAAGCCATATGCACTCCCCTGATGCTAATATCCAGAACAGATTTTGCTAGTTGATATGTTTCTAGACTCTCTAAAATCTTGTCCAGGGCCAGGGATGTGGCTTAGTCTTAGGTAAAACTCATTTTTGCTGTGAAACCTGAATTTAATCCCTCGAACCTACACATTAGGTAGAACTGACTCCCAAAGCTGCCCTTTGACCTCCACACATGGGCTGTGGCATAGGAGTTATCCCAACCACCAAAATAAATAAAAAATCCTTTCCTACTTACAGCTTACTGCATACACTTAAAGATATTTTAGGGGCTGGAGTGGGGGCTTAGCCATTGAGAACCTTGCTCTTGCTGAAGAGGTGGTTTCAGTTCAGTCCCCAGCACCTGCATGGTGCCTCATAACCCTCCTTAGCCCCAGTTCCAGGGGATCCAATGCCCTCTTCTGACAGGCACCAGGAGCATAAGTGGTAATATACATACATGCAGGTAAAGCATTTATGCACATAAATAATAAATAAAACCAAAAATATCTTAGTTACATAGTTTGGAAATCTTTATTTTTCCACTATAAAATTGTATGAAAAAAATTATCTAAACTCATTTGCTTGCATGTTCAAAATCAATGATATCACTCAAGCTACACTTTGCAGCTCACTACCTCTGAGGGTTTTGAGATAACATTATTAAATTAATGACTAATGTTGCCTCTGGAAATTTTACCTAGGATAAGTGTCCTTTGTAGTAATATCAGGATTTTAAATTCTTCATGCAGTAGTATATGTATGGTCTCCACAGAATAGGCACTCAATGTATTCTTAATGTTAAGCTTCCTTGAAGAAAAGCATGTGTGGGTAAAGTGGAAGAATTTTGTGTATGCCCTGCTAACTTTTCTAAGTGAACCATCCTCTTACACTATGCTCCAGTCCCCTCTCTTTGCTATGGCTTTCCATTGTCCCCATTTCTACCACATAGATAGTTTTGCCGGGTCTGAAGCCTTATGTAAAATAGACACAAGTAGTTCATATGGAATTTTTTCTTTCACTTTTGTGTATGGCCAACTGCCTGTAATGCGTTCATTTTCCTTAATGTAGAATATCTCATTACATATTGGATTTTATTCATCCTATTGCAGATGGATGTCCAGTCCATCTCCAGATTTGGGCTTCTGTGATTGGTGCTGCTGTGACCATTTTCATTTGGACTTTATACTGATTGTGTGTTCATACCTTGGAGTAGAATTGTTAGATGGGGACATGGATATTATATTCAAACTGAGCTGACACTAACCTGCCCCCCTCAGCAATAACGGTGCAGGTCACAGTAGCCTTATCAACACGAGTTTATGCTGTCTTCACTACAGCCATTCAGGAGGGTGTGCAGTAGTATTTCATTGTAGTTTATTGTTCTGTTTCCTGCTTAGTGAAGTACACTTTTGTGCCCATTATAACAAACTTGTGTGAGTGATGTATCCTATATAGGCTTTGTCGAACATGCCTATTGCAAACATCTCCTTTGTGGCTTGCCTTTTTATTTTTATGATCTGGAGGTTGAGCCTAGGACCTCATGCATGCTGGATGGCACTTTACCACTGAGCTACACCTGCAGCACATTTTCTTTTAATCTTCTTTTTTATTCTTTTCTTTTCTTTTTTTATTCTTTTCTTTCTGAGACAGAGACTTACTAAGTTGTCCAGGTGTGCCTTTAAAGTCCCTACTCAGTATCAGCCCCTCTCCTCCATAGCTGGTAGCTGGGATTACAAGCTTACACTCAAGTCTGGCTCCTTGCTTTTATTTTAATTAAAATATTCACATCATTCCTCCCACCCCTGCTCAATTAAAATATTACATCATCCTTGCACCTCTGCACCTTCTCCAATTCATGGCCTCTTTTTATCTATTGTTGCATATAGATAGATGTATGAATAAATACATAAATGGAACCTGCCGAGTCCA